ACACTTCTAACCACAATACTCCTCGGAGTATCAGGTGATACTGTTACACCTAAAAACACTTATCACGGAACTCCATGGTTCCTCTCCATGTCATGTCTTGACTACAGCTTCAGAAGATGGATCCTTTCAACATTCTGTTGGTGATCTATGAACATATGACCAATCAAACTAAGCAAAATGAGAAATCTCGCCAAAAACATGATATCCAGGAGTGTTATCCCTAACTTCATGTCAAAAACCGCTCAAATATTAATCAATCACTAACTTCATTCTGATTGGTCAATTTCAACAATTTTAAAGCCATCAATGTAGTATAATCCAACCATTTTATCAAATAATTTTAAGCATACATCAGCTAAACCCTTTCAACAATAATAAGTCCACACAAATATCTGAACAAGTACATTTTTATCAACATCAGTTAGCAGATTGATTAACGAAAGTAAAACAATATGTCTTCTGAATCAATTTTAAATTAATACGTTCATATAAATGAATCCTAACGTAACTAAAAAAACTTCAATTTTAAGAAATTTTCTTACTCTTTGTAGAAATAAGCAAATATCAAAATGGTGTTCAATCAACCTTTACATACTTTCCGTATTTTCTAGTGTTTGCCGATCAATGTAAGTTATTGATTTAGTCTTCTACGATGATGCACAATGGATATAAGCAAACCTTTTCTTTGTTTGATATTGTATTTTCTTAAAATTACAATCACATTTATCTGTCATTATAGAGTTGACGAAAATTGGTTATTTGTACAATTAAGTAGCTATAGCATGGATATTTGTAATATATTATTATTATTACTATTAATTAACTGAGCAATAACTATTCGCGAGGTCTAAATCACTGATCTACCTCTTTCAAATGATTGCAATCAATGAATTGAATAAATATTAGAAGAATGAAGTTATTTTATTTACATTATAACTGGTTTCAATGAATAAAAGAATCACTTTACATTGAAAAAAACGAACGGAGAGATAACATTTTTAATAACAGATTTTGAGACTAGTGAATTCCTAATGGACTAGAGAAGATGATTCATTCATTGTTTAGTATATACTTGAGGAAAGTTCTAATCATTGGTTTACATCAGCTGAAGAGCTATTAACGAACAGTAGCTAGGTGTTTCGTCCTAGTTTGAAGACTCAGTATTCGTGATCGTAATAAACCCAACCGGGGGTAAAATCTATAACCTTCAAGTTTTGAATTAAGGTGTCATTGGATTACTTACATCTCTCGAGCGACCGTTATTTGACTTCAATTATCTACGATAATGATGTATATATCCTAAATGACTTAGTATATCTCCTGTCGAATCAACACGTTTAAAATAACGGTATATCAAAAGTAGATTACGAATTGTATCTAAAAAAACGTAATTTCAGACAGTTATATGGAAAATGAAATTAGAAATAAAACATTCAGCCAATGTACAAAGCATTGAAGGTCGGTGATATTGGAGACTCAGAAACAATAAGATAATTCACTGTTTATAAATCATGTAAGAAATACATGAAGCAGATAAACGCATACATACTATCATGAACACATGTATAAAACATGATCAAAGTTACATGTTAATAATTGACAAGCGCAAACATATGGGTGACATAATAAGTAGGAAGATAAGAAAAATTTATCTATCCAAAGGTTGGTACTAATTACATAGGCGTGTAACAGTATTAATTGCTGCACCTTACTACTAGGAATGATAGTTGAACTTGACAGTCGATTTATGAGCTGACTTGAACTTAAATTTGAGGTCATGGTTTATTGATGCAGCACCTTGTCATAGATGAAAGATGAAGTGTGTTTATAGCCAAACATGTGTGATCGATCCCCTGAACTGATGTAATACTCGGCCAAATGATAATTACTGCTAGGTACTGAATAAATCTACAACAAATTTTCCGATGAATGAATATCAAAATATAGAATCGCTAGTAAATAAATTGTCCTTTTTAACAAAATGACACGTACAGTATTTGATATACAAGTAAACATGGTTAAAATTCTTTTAGAAGGAAACAGACTACTACTACTACCAGTGAGTTAAATTGAAACCTGACTCCTCCGCATTGTTTGTCCACAATCTCGCATGCAGGGTCCGAACCCAGAACCTCCTATCTCGCAAGTAAACAATTAACCTATAGACCACTGAGCCGACATCCAACAGTGTTAACGTCTAACTTCAACCAGTCTACGATATTGCGCGACCGTTGTCCATTGTCGGTGGGTAACTGCCTCACACCCGACACGTTCACACCCATTGGTCACGGCTTCTCACTAAAACTCCGAGAATTACCTCTCGAAGCTAGTCACGAGTGAGCACATGATAACAATCAGTATGGGTTTGTGGAGATTGTTGAGTTTTACTTGAGATTATGCACCAATCAATGTTAGAGCAGAAAAGTGGTCGCACATTATCATGGATTGGTTTAAGTTAGACTCTATCATTGTTGGATGCCGGATCAATGGTCTAGAGACTAACTGTTCACCCGCGAGACCGAAGGTCCTGGGTTCGAACCCCACTTGTAGGATCGTTGATGCGCATTGTTGAGGGGTCCCACATCGGGACGAAACGGCCGACCAGTGTTCCCAGGTTTGCACTGGTGGTATAACATTAATCGGTTCATGATCTCAATTAAAACTCAACGACTTTCACAAACCTATGCTGAAAATATGTGGTCATATCTATTATTATAGCTTCACAATACTACTAAACATATATCTGACTATGGACGAAGTCATTTGTTAATCAATTCCTGAGGAGAAAGTAAGTCCTTACAAACAATCTTCAGTCATGTCTTGTGTACATTAAATTAGACAGTATTCATAGAATCTGGAGACATCTGGTCTCAATAAACTATGTTTATGTAGTTTGCTTACATCAAGTATTTTTGAACATTGATGACGTGTACATAGAGTCTCAACGGTATACAGACTTAGTCGATAACCGAACTGTGGTTTAGGTTACTTTTCAGTTGATGTTGTACTATCATCTGACTTACAGGTAGGATGTGGCAATTGTGATGCAACATACTACCTTGTTGATACTAGGGATAGTTCTACAAGTGAGCGAATCACTTTTGCGGATATGTTTATATGGATAATATCCAGCCACATTTCAGAAACCGCCAAATATTTACTCAGATAATCTAACGATAGTATGATAAGATTGTTATATCCTTATGATGAGAAAAAGTATCAGGTACCCCGGTAATATATAAATTGAGAGAGAAGACATTTTGATTATCACGATTATCAAAAACATCAAAGTTGCTGGTTACGCGTGAAATACTTTTTAAATGACCAGATTTCTTGTCAGAATGCACACCTGGAAATAGTCAGGTTTGTGTGTAGTGAAGAAGACAAATTCTTAGTACATCAAGATCCGGAAACATGCTAATATGAATTACTTCTCAACTATTCTGGCCGTAAAATATTACGTGAACGGCACTCCCAAGCAAGCACGGAGACATAAACTGAAGGGAGATTGTAATATGTAAGTAAATATTATTATTAATGGCTTTATTCAATATTATATTTTGGTACAATATATAACTCTCAGCACGAGGTATTTCAACAAGTTTCTTTACAAAATACAGAAAAAAATAGACGGACTAAGTATGAGACCATTAACAACATACCACCACTCAATACGAGACAAAAACTCGTTCATTTCTTTGGAATGTAAAGAGGCAGAAATCAGCATACATACAGTGAACTCATCCGCATAATTCAGTGTTTTCTGTGGAAGATGGCAGATCACGCAGAAGAGATGAAAGAACAGCCTCTTGTGGCACACCTTCATGAGACAGTAGAGACACTGAGCACTTTACTCCAAGTGCAGTGTACTGCTATTCCAGAGGTAGGTACATAGCCAGTCGGTTATCCAGCCGTCAGTACTAGCGCCTTGAGATAGAATCAAAAGCAGGAGTAAAATTCAGAAAAGCGCATCGGACGTCCTTCCTAGACATTTCCGAGATGAACACTATTGTGATGCATTTGTAAGCAAACTAATACGGATCAATGTGCTCTTTTAATGCAGGTTGAAGTGGGAGTAACAACAATTTTTCCATTTTGAGGGAAGGTAAAGTTACTGCTATGGGTCTAAATCTCACATTCTTATCGCCACATTCTCGGTTTTTCTCCTTGTATATTCTTTCTTTTACCCTCTGTAGTCCTTCTAGTTGTGGAGATGTAAGTCAATATAAACTCTAATAAAATTGCTTTAGTGCGACAAGTGATAACATCAGTAATGTTTTCCAGTGAGCCATCTGTAAATAATTCCTAGTTAGTCGTACGATGATTTTCAGATTTTGAATATTTTCTTCTATATTTCTTGATCCGATTTAAGAGTGAACTCTTCCCATATACTTTAGGTAAAACAGGACTTATACAGTGATCCGAGCACGTTTACGAGTCACATATGTACCCACATCATCAGGAGTTGAAGATAGTTCATCTTATTAATTAGTGATCGGTAGTTAGAATTTAGCAGCTCAGGAATCGACATATGATTAAAGTTCATGCAACAGTTTGTTGAATAAGACTTGAGTTCATGAGATTTATAGGCTCGTAACGTTACTAAGTGTAAGAATGAAGGTCGTCTGAAATCACATTAGTAATACACACCCTAAAATGGAAGTTATCTACTACTTTCCAGGATCATTATAAAGTTCGAGTCGATATATTCAATTTTTCTTTTAAATCTTAATAGCCATTTTGAAGTGAAACACAGGTAATATCGACTTTAAATTTTCCTGTTCTTTATTGTAATTATTTACTTATAAAAAAGAGCTTAGATTTATCTTTTAGTGCAATGTTAAAATTTGATCTACAGTTTATAGAATTTGAACCCAAAATACCACTTGGATCGACCCTACTACAAAATACTTATTCAAAAGACATGTCACTTGTAACTACTTGAGACATGAATGTGTAAAAGCCCCATCTCGAATGTTCGAAGAGTAAAAGGAAATATTGCGTATTGTAGACATAACTAAGTAGAATGAGAAGTAATAACATGAAATAAATGTATGGAAATATGCCAGGTACAAATTCTGTCTGAATTACAAAGGGAACAGTTTGGGGATAGGAAAAATTAATCAGTCAGACGTCACATAACTGATAATTAGAATTCAAACCAGAAGCATAAGTAGGTGAAAATTGATGACACAGGATAGCTTGAGCCTGAAGTTTTCAATAAACTGAAAAGTAAAATGTTGTGACAATCGTTTAGTTGTATAAATCTTCTGCGTCATTTTGAGATCCATAGGCTGATCCTCCTCCTCCCTGAGTACCGTGACCTGTAGGTATTCCAGGTCCATCTGATCCAGGGAATCTGTATTAAGAAAAATTATAAAATGAATTAAAAAATAAAATCTTACGAATATCGTTCGTGGTATACAAACAATAACTGCTATTCGGCAACATTAATTTGATGTTCATGGAAATTAGAACGAAAATGTGATTCGATCAAATGCAACGTAGAAATCGATACAAGTAGACATATGCCATTAGCACGAGATAAAACCATAAAGGCGAATCCAAGAATAATAAAGGTAACTCACAAACGCCTTGATACGGCCGAGGGTAGGGAGTCCGCCCTCAATCTAGAAATGTTTCCATATGCCCACGCCTAGACGGACACTGTCAAAGTCCTACTCGAAGCGGTGGCATAGTTTAAAAATCAAGACGAAAAGCAGATGACCGGTGCTTAACCAAAGCTGGTGGGTACGGAAGTTGGAAAGCCCTGGTCCCAAACCAATGATACACACGGGCTCCAGGATCCTAAGGAAACAAATGAAGCATGAACCTGGTGTTGGTCACCGGCTACCATGGAACTGAATCTCCTAACGTTGATCTATAGACTCATAGATTAGACCTCTAAGTCCAAGGCTCGAGTTGGTCTCTAAGAAAACCACCTGCCTCGGCTTGGGCTCCCAAGAAGTATACCAGACCACACAAAAAACAAATGATCACTAAAACTAGGAAAACCACTCACGCTTTAATTCTCATTCTCACAAACCATGCTCAAAACAATTTTGTAGTATCCGTTTTTGTTATATATTGCGTCACTTAACTATTCCTTTATTTCTATTCTGTATGCTCCTTTATTTTTCAACTCCTACAATAGCTCGCCTATGGCGAAAACCTTGTCAAATCTAAACGATCTCAAGTCACGGACTAATCGGACGTTGAATGCTACCGACAGATATGAATACTCAGCCATTTTTCTGAAAGCACGTATGCAATTCAAACTGGTCTCCAACATTCGCACACTAATGCAGATCGTAGAACAAATGGGGTTGGCGATGTCATTAGAAAGTTTTAATGTCGACGTTTATTGTCTATATGATATTCATATTTTTGACTCTAATGAAGTACTACAAATTGGTTCTCTATCTGTTTTTTGCGTGCAATTATCCGAGGACGCCGAGGCATCTTTGTTTCGTTTTGCAGGCATCGGCATTGCATTGAGTGCTAGAGCTGAAGCAGCACTGATCAACTGTATCACCATTAACAGTCAGTTATGTGCTGTTAGACTAAAAAGCTCCATCAAAGTGTAAAGAAATCTGTGCGAAACGATGTCTTTTCATCAACGCTTACGCTTTGACAGATTGCAACATGGATGCGATTAAGGATGAGGTTTAGCACTAGTTAACTGTTCTTCTACAAGAAGTGCATTTGAAAGACATTGTAGTACATGCTGGAGACTTGAATGCACAGGTCGGGTAACGGCGACTGTCTACTACAACTTTGCACAAACTACAGCCTATTTCTGGTCATCACTAACCATAGGTATAGTAATCGCCGATGTGCTACCTGATATAATCTCTCTGAAGCTCAAACCTGAACTCAGATATATCACATCGCGATCAGCTACCGCAGGTGTGGTTGTGTACAAGACTGGTGCTCCTTTTGCAGAACCTATCTCGACCCTGATCATGTCCTTGTTTGCGCTAATCTTATATTTAGTGGCCAAAAAATTCATTGTCCTAAACGAATCGATGTCAGCAAATTGGTTGCAGCTTCTGTTTCAATCAAATATGGAACCGAACCACGTTCAAAACTGGGTATCAACCCATCGAAGAACAGTTGACTGGTGGTAGAATTCATCCTTGATTGCATCCAGGCTGTAATCTGTCGTTGCATACTCGGAGATGACGAAAAGACATCGTTTCTCAAGCCGATTTCTTCCCACCTTGATGGAACTTTCTAATCTAACAGCCAACATATAACATTCCATGATACAATTGTGAATGAGCAACCAGGGTTCAAGACACTGGACCTCTGGATGGACTGAGATTAAAGACAATACAACAAACTAGCAAAACAAGGTCTTTCTATAGCAAAAGAACATGTTTATATACAAAAATAACACCACAAAATAAATGGTCGGACGATTCGGATTTCGTAGGCCACTTGCATTCCAATGAATTCAGGATTTGACAAACAAGTTTAATTTTTACTTTGCTATGACAATTATATTTTCTTCATTGCTTCAGTTTATCAGTCCCTTTTGAGGAGAATTTTTAATTTACTCCCAACCTCATGTTTACTGTTTTCACTTTTGCACTGTTCATCGTTTTGATATTTTACTTCTACATAAGGATTGATTACGAGAGCTAAGACAGATATACATGTGCTCTACGTTACAATTGGTTCGTATCTCTCTCGATCAGTCATCTACAACGTAGGACCAGACACATACATGCATCAGCCCAAGTTGCCACACCTCTTTAGCACAACAAAATAAGCATCAAATTCATAGAAGTAGTCACTTCAATAGTAGTAATATATGAAAGAAAGATCGTGTATAATGACATAGTACAGAAAGAAAGAAACAGTTCATAGAACGAAGAATATAAAGCGATTTTAATCTTATGGTTTAAAGAAAGACAAAGAGTGTATGCATCGACACCATTGTGATAGATTCTGGACCATATCACCCAGAGTCTCCAACCATTGGTTACGACAGTCATGTGGACTCCAACCAAGCAGTATGCATCTACCAACATGGCTAAGACGAGAAGTTAGCGACTTCAATGACTGATGCCACTTTTTCGTTTGGCTCCTCATAACTTTCTCCAATCTTCCTTCAACACTAGTCAGCATTGCGCTTCGTGGTAATCGATGTTGAGCCATATATAACTCGCCTGGATTATTTTCGGGACTTAGATTATTCTAAAGATTTGACTAGCTTTTTCCAATCTGCCTTCAACACTAGTCAGCTTTGCGCGTCGTGGTAGTCGGTAGTTGGACATGTGCAATACGTCACCCAACCATCTCAGTCGATGTAGATTCACAGCCTCACCAACTAAATTACCATCATTCCCTAGTATCTTCCGTCTAACCTCACTATTACTTATCCAGTGATCCCAGCAGATGCTGGCAATATTTCTAGGACATCTGTGATCAAATACTAGTAACTTATGAGTATCTTCTACTCTTAATGGCCACGTTCCGCAGCCGTGAAGTTCAGGTGTTGACGCAGGTCAGTTCTCAAGCAACGATTTGCAATTAGAAAGGGGGGAAGGGCATCCCTAACATTCTGGCATTGTTGCTCAGTGCTATCAAAAGACTGCATTTTAGAGTCTTCACCAAACAGGATCATATCATCTGCATATTCTAAGTCGATAAGTGGACCTCCTGGTAGGAGATCAATGCCCGGGAATTCAGTCGACGAGAGCGTTATTTCCATCAGTAAGTTTATAATGAAGTTAAACAAAAGTGGAGAAAGTGGACAGCCTTGTCGGACACCACTTGATGTTGCAAAATCAGATGACAGTTCGTCATAAGCTCTGACTCGATTAGTATTGTTCGAGTAAATAGCCTTCACAAGATTTACGTACTTCTGAGGTACACCTTTCGATGACAGACACTGCCATAGAACCTCCCGGTCTACAGAGTCAAATTCTGCTTTTAGGTCAAGAAAGACCACCATTGCCGGACGCCGATAAGCATGCCTATGTTCTAGAACCTGATGAATGGTGAATATGTGGTCGATGCAGCCAGCCTGATTCTCTCGTGTTTGCAGTTCACAAGTCTTTGTTAGGCACCCGATAAATATTGAAGCTAGTATTTTAGATGCTATGTTAGTCAAAATAGTGCCTCTATGGCTACCACAGGATGATTTTGACACCCTATATATCGGAACAATCAGTGATTGCGACCAATCAGATGGGATCACGTCTAACTCACAGATTTTATGAAATATTAGTTAACCTAATCGCCAAAACTAGACCAAAATCCTTAAAGACATATGGAGCCAATCCATTTGGACCAGCTGCCCCTCCTCGTTTCAGATTAGCTATACCTTTTTGAACTTCAGTTATAGTCGGCGGACCTACTTCATGTTCCATTCACGCTGTCTGGGAATGGTAGGTAGTTGTAGAGTAGCTGAAGGCCAGCTGAACTGCTCCTTAAAATGTTCCGCTCATCGTTCTAAACGTCTAGACTGAGAGAACATAAGAGTGCCATTTTTTCTGTGATTGTCTCACATACACTTAACCCCTTAGTTCCGGTTTATTTTATTAGTCTGATAAGCTGTCTGGTGTTACCTACAGCCGTTGTCTTTTCCATCTCTTTTGCGTTCGTTACCCACCACTGCTCACGACTGTTCCGTAGACTTTTGGTTAACCTAGATCTGATTTGCTTTCGCTCTTCATCGTGTTCAGAGCCTGATGGGATGAGTTTACGAGAATCCATCAGTGCAATAGCCTTAGAAGAAATCCAATGGTTTTTGGTACCCCTTTGGTTAAAATCACTAACAGATGTCACTGCTGTTTCCACAGCTGTTTGTATATCTTTCCAGGCAACATCTTGGTCAGCCTCGTTTTCAGAACTAACTGAGTGTGACCTCAGTTGTTCCTGGAACCTACTTTTGAGTTCCTCATTACTCAATTCCATTCTAAAGGGTCTTTTTAGTGTGGCTTTTTGCGTCCAGTGAGGCGCAACCAGATGCGTGCCCGTATTAGAGAATGGTCGGAGTCCAAGAAGGTATTCCAGAACGAGCGACAATCTTCTATCGACCCTCTCCCAAGATGGATGACGGCAATATAGTCTATTTAAGTTCAATGGTTTGGTGCAGGCGGTCGCCATGTTAGACGATGTCTCTCCTTGTGCTTAAAATTTGTGCTTGCTAAAAATAAACGATTGGCTGAGCACAGTTGCAGCAGACGATCGCCATTATCTGTTCGCTGATCCGGATTCCCAAAATAGCCACATAAATATCTTACTGTTTGGTTTAAGCTACCTGTCTGGGCATTAAAGCCACCTGCTATGAGTACTATGTCTGAACGTGTAGCTTCTTGAAGAGGTTCAAAAAGCTTTCTTTAA